AATTATGTCCATACATGTAGTATATACTATGTGATATTATAAATTATTTTATATATTTAAATATTGAAAATTTTTTTTTCGAAAAAATTTTTTTCATGTAGAATATTCCATGGAATAAAATTTTAATTTAAAATTTCCATAAAACCGTGATCGGGCGCCACTTAGTTTTCTCATATACCTAAATTCAGTTCGAATACCTTGTAAATATAACTTCATAAGATGAAAAAAGTTTGTTGACAGTAAACAGGTATTGACAGACGTTCAACATGTTTTTTGATAACCGAAAATAGATAACAAAAAAATGACAATTGGTCGAGTGATTATGGCACTGGTCCTTTAACTGAATGGTCTCGCTTATACTTATAAAAAAAATGGTCATACTGTGAAAATAAAAAAAATAACCGTGTCAACTCTGTGATACCCGTACGAATTTGTTATCCTATGTGCGAACAAATATGCCCTAGCTGACTATGTAGATAGGGCCAAACTATATTGAACTTGTATATCTGCTACCAGAAAGAATCATGCAATTTCAACGACATTTATCAAACACATTGATCCTACTAATATATTCGTTTGTGTGAAATTTCAATATCACAGCTTTAATTGCTTCTGTGATAGAGCCAAGGCAGCTACCAGAATGAGTCAAGCAATTTCAATGATTTTTATCAAACACATTGGCCCTATTAATATATTTACTTGTGCGAAACTATTAATATATTTTAATACCGAAACTTTCATAGTTTCTTAGATATAGTCAAGTTAAATATTGAAGTCGTATGGCAGCTACCCGAACCAATACAGCATGTCCAATTTACATGTCCAGCCCCCATGGTCCTGGCGCTTACTACAGTAAATCATTTGTGAAAATTTGGTTAACTTAGTTTAATTAGTAAGAACCGATTTCGGAATTTCGATTATATTTAAGAATATACTTGATGGAATCCTTTGATGATAAATTGATAATTTGAGTTTTATTTATCGGCCTCTATGAAGACGTTCAGGTACTGTCTTACTCATTTTAATAGTTCTCGCACGGGCGCCAGTTTAGTTTTTCATATAAATTTAGGACAACCACTAATTTCGTTGTACATGCACTTCATAAGAAAAAGTTTGCTAATTTTGACACTATAATTAACCACCCTACATTGATTTAACAAAATTATAAAATTATAAAATTACAATATTAAATCTGTAGTGTTCATTTATTAACCAATACATGTATGTATGTATATACGTTTCTATAATATGAATCATCCGAAATTTTCATAATTTAAATTAAATATTTCTGGATTGACATACTTACATACATACATAATTAAATGCTCTTTTTGTTTTTTTTTTTAATTTTTTGCATTAATGTAGTAATTGTACTATATTATATAATATGTCTGCTCATTATATGCATATAGAAACCTATGTTCATTTAACATTATATACATTTAATAAAAAAAAAATTATTTTTTTCATAAAATAACATATAATTTTTTCATTATAAAAATAATATATAGAAAAAAAAAATGCAATACTGTAATTATGCATTTCAGTAACTTTATTCCCCACCGACGTCATATTTTGTTGTTCGTTCATAATTTTTTTTAGTACATATGTACATATATGTATATAAAAATTTTAAGTGAAAATAACTTTCCAATCGAACGCATAAATAATTATTTTGGGGTTGGGGTAGGTAAAGTGACTTTATTTTCTTTCCTAGCAACTCTTTCTTCTATTCATTGTTTTCATTGTTTTAACTACTTTTTTATTTTTATGTTTTCAATTTATTTTTTTACACATTTTCAGTAAAAAAATCATTAAAAAATGAATTTGTGTATGGATTTAAGTCTGTTCATATTATGCGTACATACTATGCTTGCTCAATTTTGTTTCAATTGATATTATTTTAAACTTACATACACATATACGTACATATGTTAATATAGACATTACGTAAAAAAATATATTTAATTTTTTAAAATAAGCACATATTTTATATCTTCAGTATAATTGTATATTTTGTATATATTATATTAAAATTCATTCATGTAAACTAAATCTATTTATTTATACAATTTATATTAAGTATGAAGTACTATTCAAAAACACTTCAATATGTCAAATTTAATGCAAAATTAAATACAAAATATTTAATATTTATAGTCTTTTTTCTCCTTTGGAAGCCGTAGTCTTTCTATCTTTCGTCTCTTAAGACCGTTTGCGTTTCAGAATCCTCATCCTCATCTCAAGAGTAGTAGTATTTCTCTGACATATTTCAATATCGCATCTGTACCGAACAACAAAATTTAACATAGAATGGAATTAAAAATTTGCCTCCTCAGTGCATCACAGGCTTAAGCAAGGCAATGCGTCTTTAACCTGAAAGAGCGGACTTTAACCTACCCTTTGCCAATTCTTTTAAAGTTATAGATAGACAATAAGCATCGCAAAGCGCATCACTCCGTATTTGCAAATGTGGACAATTCAATGTTATTGTCTTTCACTCGCTTTTCAAAGAATTATATGTTATAAGTTTCTTAGGATGCGATATCGCTACACATTAACTTCTACAGGCACTTAATTATTATCTGAGAAAGATTTTTCAGGAAAAATTTGGCAATCCAAATCAGTATACCATAAACTTAAGTTATAAACAATGTAATTAATATAATTATATTCAATTTTCAGCTTAAATCGAAAACTATAATGCAACTAAAATAGATGATAGATCAAGTTATAATTAATACTATATTTGAATGTATTCAACTATTAGTCATCATAGTATGTATTGTGTGGTATTCATCGATCAATATGACGCATTTTTGATTCAAAATCATATTTAAATAATTTAGTGCTGAAAAAAATCTGCGTCCGAAGTATATACCATGTGTTGAGTTCTCTGAAAATGAACAGTTGAAGGGTGCAAAGATCTTTTAGGGAATATGGCCCTATAATTTCTGTTACGTAAATTTAAAATTCAACGATAAATATTCTTATACAATATATAGTTTTGCGAGGAAATTATTACTGAAACTTTAAATGAAAAATTCAAGTTATTGTTTAATTACATTGTTTTTCGTCTGTTAATTATCATTAAATACTTTGCGTAACATATAAATTCTAAAATTTTTTGTATTGTTAATAAAGAACACAATACATGTTAGTGTTAATATTATTTTATTACTATTAACATATCTCATTCTAACTATTTCGATATGCCATTGACCCCAGAAAATTCAATAAAACATAAATATAAATCGTTTGGAAAGGGTAAACAAAGCTTTCAAAGCTCTTTACGAAATCGCGCGTATTCAAGAAAAACATTTGCTTTAAATAATGTCAAAATGTCATTCTGCTTCATTTAATATACTATATAGTATTATTTCAATATTGAAAAAGAATGCATTTCTTCTATCGGCTAACTCTTCTATAACAAATTTTAATATTCACTCAATATTATACCCTATTTTATTATGCACTTTATTTACGTGCATACACAAACTTCAATAAATTTGTTAAATGTGTATGTTTTCTCGTATGTTTTTCTATACATTTTATGATTTTTTATTATTATTATTTTTTGTTTTATATTTTTTAATTTTTCTCTCTTTTATTTTCGGTATAGTGCGTGAAGTGCTGTAGGTCGGGATTATATAAGTAGAAAACGGCATGACGCGGCGCCAACCCTTTTCTTTCAAAGCAGGAAACATAATTTCTCTATTCAATTTATTTGTACATATATGCATTCATATATGTGTTATAAGTATATATATATATATATCATAGGATACGTATACATACATATATAAATTTCTTTTTATTTGCTACATGAAAAAGAGAGAGTTCTATACATTAAGTGTGGGTTAAAAATGCACATATGTACCTAAATTTATAAATGCATATGTATTCAGCGTGATACGAAATAAAGCATTTTGTATTTTTTTATATTTTCATATATAAACATACATACATTTACATTATATACAACATCAAAAAAAAAAAAATCCTGAAAATTAAAAGCAAATAACACCAAAATGCACACAAAAAAAACAATTTTTTTTAAATATGAAAATTTCACCCTTATTTAAAATGAGAAAATTTTCAATGTTTAATCATTTTGAAGGACATTGACCTTTTCCTGAAAAATAAAAATAATAATAACAATGATGGCAATAAAAAATTATATAACATAAAAAAAAACAAACGAAGAAAATGGTAATACACGTATTCAAAATTAATGTGCAATTTTCCATAATATGCGAAAATAAAATTTTCGGTCATTAACTTTTAAGTTTCCATACAAAGATTTTCTATAATATTGTTTTAACATATAAGTTTGTGTATAATGCATGTCAATATTCATATTAATATATATATAACATTATGTTAATTTATTTAATATATAAGATATGTTAGCATTAAGATCCGAAATATCTTCAATATTAACAGTACAAAAAAATAATAACTAATTCAAGGTAGCGTAAACGAGATCTCGATACAATTTCATCTACCATATTTAAATATATCAATAAGATAAAATTTTATTCAGTACGTAATTTAGGTAAAATACCTTAAAAACTGTAAAATTATTAGATGTCGAAGCCCAGATTTCGGTTAAAACCCGCATTCATATCGGATTTTATTCAAACATTTACATCACTTTTAAACGGAAACTAGTATATTTATAAAAAATAGTGTTACAGCCAAAAATAGGGTATGCACTAATCTGATAGTTTCACAAGAATACTTAATTTATCTCCTGAAAATTATTTATGAACTCTTTTGCATCTCGATTTTTTTTTGGTTTTAAGCTACATTTCAAAAATATTGTTGCGGGGAAGTCAATTTTGTTTTTCAAATGAAAATTCGTAATTTCATAGTAACACACTTTAAATTATTATATACAATTTTTTTTTTTTTTAATTGTATACAACATAATATATTAATTTATTATTTTTGCAATTATTCTTCTAGTCTAATAAATTTTCTTTTATTATTTTTAGGATTAGAAAGAATAGCTGAAGAGTTGATGGGACGAAGGAAATGGAAACTCTTTCAAGAAATTTTTTCGCGATCACAAACAAACATAAATATAGATTACTACAATTCAGGTAAGTTCTGCAGCTATTCAGATTTATATATAATATGCATACAACTATAATATATGTATATGTTATCCTTAAAAATAAAAATAAATATAAAATCTACATAATCCTAAATAATAATAAAAAAAATGGAAAACATGACGAGACGAGAAGTTTTTATTTTTTCTTTTCGAATTAGTTTACTTTTGTTTATTCATTAACCTACATATTAAATTAATTAAGAACAAACGTGAAATTTTAACGCATTTCTTAAATTATTTCCTTTGGTCTTTGAGAGCATACAAAAAAGTTGTATTCTTATTCGATATTTAAATAAAAGTCTAGACCTAAAAATATTGAGTCGTTTTAGGGGTAATTGAATAAAATAAATTTTATGCAAATTTGTTTAAAGTTGGTATGTATATAAAAAGAGGGAACATTTTGTAGTTGAACAAATTCAAATGTTTTGTACACAAAAATTATAAGACAGGATTCTGAAATATATTTAAAAACATTTAAGGGGAATAACTAATACAACAGCTTTTCGGCATTGGAAAAGATATTTGAAATTAATATTAGTGTTTGCAATCTTAAGATTTGACACCACAATCGTCGTATATTACAAAAAATAATAAAACTTCTCCATTATTTTAAATTTTTTCTATTCAATTTTCTACGGAATTCAATTACAATTCCGTGTCAAATATCTTGACTACATTATATAAATTCAAAGAAAAATTTTTATTTTCAATAGATCTTTATTAATTTCCTTTAATTTTATTTAAGGATACGAATACCTAGAAAATTTAGAGAAATCAATTGATGAAATTCATTTATCAGAGAAAAAAGATTATACAATAAGAAAAAAAATAAAGGATAATTTAGAAAACGATATTCAAGTCAAAACAGGTTTGTTAAATTAATTTTTTATATAATTATAATCAAAACTATTTTCTAATACTTTTATAGAAAACAAATTCACCGAAAACCCCAACTCAGTAAATAAAACAATCAAAAAAGAAATTAAGAATTTTAATACAACATCATCATCAACATCATTATTAGATTTATTAGAGAAACCATCAACACCTATTGATTGGAAACCAAGTGATAAGTGTTATTTTTGTATAGACGGTAAACTGCTCACAGTGAACGAAAAAGGTGAACTGGTGGCTGAGTCCGGCTCGGCTTTGCCCGAGACAGAACTCGCCAATAGGGTAAGATTTAATAAAATTAATAGAAAAAAAGACAAAATATTTTGATTTACAAAAAGAAACTAAATCATTAAAAATTTATAGTCAACTGTTGATACTGATAGCGGTGATTCAAGAAATAGTACACCAGATATTTTACGTAGTCAGTCATTAGTTAATGTTAAGAAAAAATTAAAAACATCACAACAACAACAACAACATCAACAGCAGCAACAACAAAATCAACAACAATTAAGAGATTCACAACATCCACCGAAAATGACCTCACTTGAATCTATGGCTGCAAGATTAGCAGCTGTTGCTTCAATACATCCAGGATTACAGCCTGGTTTAGGTCAACTAAGTCAATTGAGCCAATTAGGACAAATTTATCCAAGTAAAAAAATAACAAATTTTTAATATTTAAAAAAAAAAAATAAATTTATTTTCCATATTTTTAATCATTTTATTTACTTTTTATTTTATTTAGACTTATATTATCAACAATTAGCTCAAATTTTACCAACAACGCCTACACCAGAAACACCATTGGCTGCAATTAGTCCATCAAATAAAGATTCACCAAGTCCTCATGAAGCATGTGGAAGTGGTGAACAACCATTAGATTTAAGTTCAAAACCATCACTTAATTCACCAACTTTAACTAGTGGAGATTCAAAACAAGCGTCTGCCAGGTAATTTATTTTTATATTTTACTATAAATATTATATTTAATAAAAATAATAATTAATTATAAAAACAGATCCCAAATAAATCCTATTTCTTAAATTAAGAGCTAGATTTCGATTTTAACTGAAATTTTTTGAAATCATTGTAATATTCCGCACTGAATTTCTACACACACGATTATTGTAGTTAATAAATTATATTTGCAGTCTCGAAAATTATATATAAATTTTAACATTTACGGGAAATCAAAAAAGTAAAATAATTTTTAATTGGTCAATTTATTAAAAGTAGCAATATGAAGTTGACCTGCTATTAATCTTTACTGACCAAATTGCGTACAAAAGGAAAGGTTTTTTTTAAATTATGAGAAATTTATTCTTGTTTTTCCATATTTATGTTTTCGCTATAGGACCATATCACGGTCTAGCTCAATCACTATATTTAAACTAAGATAGTTAAATTTTCATAATTTTCTAAATCCAAACCAGTTGACAACATCAAAACGCTCAATTCGAATGCCTTGCTTAAACAATTACAACTTCTTATAACTTGTATATTTAATTCGACTTCTTGTAATTGGTTTTTTTCAATCAAACTTTATTCACCTAAAAAAATCAACTTTGAAAACACAAATTATAGTAGCCTTTTTTTTAAAATATATAACAATACTTATTAACTTTGAAAATAAACAAACAAACAAGTCTCGAAAACATTATGTTTTTGTGTTCGTTCAAATATGAAAAAACAAACTTAACAAATCATTTTATTAAACATCAGTTTTACATTTTATTATTTAAATTTTTTTCCAAATGTTATAAAAATAAAAAAAAATATTAAAAAATACTCTGCACTTTTTTTATTTTTTAAAAATTTCAAGGGTTTTCGAATTAACTTTGATCCTGCAAATAAAAAATTAATATAAAATTAAAAAACAAAAATAACAAAAAAAAAGAGAGAAATTAAAATAATAAAATAAAAAAAATGGTACTCAGACATTAACACTCTTAGTAAAATTTATATGGCAATTTAAATATGTAAATTAACATTTACAATTGCAAATACATATATAAAAAAAAGGATACTTTTAATTCTACTATAAATAAAACACAGTACACATCCTTTCCTATTTTTTTTTCCAACTTTTTCTCTTTTGTACATTTTTTTTTCCAATTTTATTTTCATTTTTTGTTAATTGTATTTTGAATGCAATACAAAAAAAGTTTCCTCGAAATTAATCCTTAAAATTCAAAAGTTTTTTACACCGCTTCGAATTCAAGTATTTTTATCAGCCCAGAGAACAAAAAAAAACAAAGCATATTCAGAAAATAATATTGAAATATTTATATAGCATTGCAAATACAAATATGAACGTATGCATGTATGTATGCATGTATAAATGCATACAGCCTTTTTTTTTCAAATGCAAACATAATTTCTCAATTATGCAATTTTAATAGTTAAATATTATACCTACAAGTACCGAAATCCGTAAAAAATTAATTCAGAAAATCAAAAAATAAAGGTTATATACAAAAACTCTGACATAATGAAACGTACACAAAAATAAAAAAATTCAACTCAGGTAAAATTTGACTAATAGGCGTTCTCAATAACAGTTATAATTCACTCGAATTAAATTTTTTTTTTAATATAATTTTTACAAAAAAAAACGAAAAAATGGAATTATAACAATAATAATGTGGAAACAGAGAAAAAAAATGCTCATTAATTTTAATCGGGCAATCCAATTAAGTATATTCGTTATAATATTTATATAGATTTCCCATTACAATTCGAAAGAGTATCGGCTGCAAACTTTAAAACTTCGACTTACCTTCAGTAAGGTATAATTATAGGGCCTTATCGTCTATCTCGCTATTTTACTTAGAAAGTGAGAAGAAATTGAGTAACTATCTTATATTTGTATAATGTAATTTTCGAGTGAGAAAACTTATTTGGTATTGCGTATCTTGTTTTTTTCTAAAATTCATTTTGTTTTTGAAAAAATGCAAAAATCCAATTGAAAAAATGAGTTATCTTATTGGAAATGGAGAATTCCGATTTGAATGTGAATAAACGTGAGTAAAGCACGATTAGCCTGATAAACATTTATCTTGCCTAATCCACAAGTTATAAAAATTTTTTTCAAATTTACCGTAGTTTATGATTTTTGTCTTCAAAAAATAAGATTACCTTCGAAAATAATTGGACTACTTGTGTCGAATCTAATGTATTAGTACAATTAACTAGTTTTTTTATTTTTTATAATATCGCCCCTAAATATATGCAATTATGTTTTGTTATTATAGTGAAGAATTCAGAAGAATCTATCTGTTTATATTTAACAAATTGTACATTTCATTAAAATGTACAATTTTAGCTAAGGTTCTTATTTCACATTTTCACCGATAATTCGATGCTTATTGTCAGCTGGTTACACAAATTATTTTTTATACTCATTATTATAATGACTCAATAATAAGAAGAAATATCTAACGTTAAAAATTTCATTCAGGAATTGGACTCCAATATTACTTTTTTCCAAATAATAATCTCAATAAGCCAACATATAGTTGACATTATCTTTCAACATAGTTGGCTGTCCATTAAACTTCAACCCCTACTGTTAATAAATTCTGATATTTTCGGCTTCATTACCTCATAATTATAGTTTCCTTAAATCAGGATTATCCAATTCCTGTATGTCTGGTTCTTTTAAATTTTTTTTTTGTGTTGCAGGTATTTAACTCTATAAATTTAATTCCTTTTTCAAGTTTGTTTTCTTTTTTTATTTTCATTTTAAATTCCTCTCTTTTACATATTTACATTCCATTGGTAAAATTAAAAAAGCAAATCACAAAAATAAAAAAACAAAATCCTGTATTTTTTGCTATTTTTACTGTTTCCCTCTTTTTATTTTTTTTGTTAATTTTTTTTCTGATTTTCTGTTTTTTTTTTTTTGCTTTTTTTTTTTTGCAAATAATTACTGCGCATCAATTTCCAAAAGTGCATTTTTATTGATTACTTGTTTTGCCTTTTTTATTTTTATGTTTTTGGTTTATTTTTTCATTTTTTATTCTATGTCATTCGAGGACACTCCGATACTGAACAAATACTATCAACAGTATTTCACCTTATCCTTATTATGCTCGTATAAAGCTCAATCTATAACCACCCAACATCGCACTCATTGCATCACCAAATACAATTTTTTTGTATGAATATTTTTTGTTTTTTTTTTTAAATTGCAAAAACAAAAATTTAAGAGCAAAAATAAAAAACAAAAGAAAAAAAAAATACTATGCAAATAAAAAAATTATTTTTAGGCTGTGAAATTAAAGGACGAAAAAAAATTGAAAAATTTTTTTTGAATATTTTTTTTGTTTTTTGCTACATTTTTTTTGTATTTTTTTTTTTAATATCATGCAATTTTTGTCTTTGGTTTTTGACGCGTGTTGCAAAATAGAATTCAGAAGAATCTATCTGTCTATATTTAACACATGTGTATAAATGTATATGTTGTACGTACGTAATTCATATATGTACGTTCATTAAAATGTACGTAAATGAATTTTACACAGTATTGTTGAAACCTAAAAAATCAAAGGTGTGCTATTTCAACAGGATTAAATAAAAAACAAAGAAGGATAGAAAATGAAAATAAAATGAGATAAAAATAAGTTGATTAGATCAACTGTAGGATATTTGGAATTAATTATTATAAGAATCAGATTTTATAATGAATTTGATAACGTAATACTCTCGGACTACTGAAGTTATTTTAAAAATTTCTAATGTGAAATTTGAAATACCTTTACATAGCCCATAGCTCTCACAAAGCTGTGATTTTCTGAAAACATAATAAGGTTTCCCTACATTTTTTTATCCAGGTAGCACGAAATTTCTCAAAAACAATATTAGCAATTAGTTAAGCAATTTTCGCATAAGATAAGTTAAATCACAGTTGCTTCCGAGAAGGATTACTGTATTACATGCATAAAATAAATTTATTATAATTTTATAATTACAATTTTCGATATTGACTTTAATAATTAAAAATAAATTTTTAAAAAAAAAATTCATTTGTTTAATCAGAAAATAAATTCAAAATTGATTCAAAAATTTTTAATTCTTATTTCTTTTTAAGTAATAAAAATGTTGGAAAATATTTTCGTCACACCACACAATTTCATCTATGTAGTTACATATATAAATAACTTTTTTCTATTTTACATATATTTTTGTATATATAGTGTGATGAATTATTTTTTTTTTATTACATTTTATATACGCAATCCAATACTACGAGTACGTTTTACATAATATGCATAAATATTAAATTTATAGTACAATGTTTTTTTATATATTTTATATTAAAATATTCATTTAAAAAGTATAGTTAGCATCTATAGGATATTTAATTTTTATTTCATAGGAGTATACATTTTGTATCAAGACAAAATATTTTGGTTGGGTAACTTCAAAATAATGTTATATAATTTCAAAATATTTTTAATTATTCCAAAGACCTTAAAAAGTGCCCTTTTCTGATACGTTGGAATTAAAACTGCACGAGTTTTTTTGGGTAATAGTTTTGAGTTTGGTTAATTCGGATTAAAATTTTTAAGTTTACATAAACAAGCTTATAATGTCATGACAACGGGCTTACAATTTCATGACTTTTTACAAAATTTTGTAAAAATTGCTTAAGCATTTGTAATTTAAATTCTTACCATCATAGATCTTCGAAACTAAAATTTTGTTTAATAAAATATTCAAGCAGCATTTAATTTTATTAATAATTACTGTTAACCAAATTTTAAGAATAATATCAAATATGACAGTTATTTATGCAACAAAGAATGAATATCTCGTATGATATCCATAGAGTTTACCTATTCCACCAAGAAAATTCACACCAAGTCAAAAAAAATTAAAATTTATTTTATTGACATTACAAACGAACACAAGAATATTTTAAATGCAACACACAATTTTTTTTTCT